GTATAGGATGGAGTGTGTTCTGAGCAAAATGACCATCAACCTGACAGCTCTCCCATCACGACGATGAAGGCAAACGCACCACGTACGACAGCATCGCCTACATTGTTAGTATCGATTGGGAAGGAACACTGGGCAATGCAACACTGTGCATGCCGTATCTTGTTCAATATACATGTTGGCCTCGGTGAAGAACTGCTGGAGTAAGCTGAAACCGTGGTTGGCGTGCTATCCATGAATTATTCAGGTTTTGTGCTCACCTTGGAACTATTTGATAAAGGCAAACGTCGGTATGATACACTTCCTTGTTTGTTTATTTACTACCAGTCAATGGTCTGGAGCAGGGGTTGGAAAATAAAATATATAATTGTATTGGTTTTCAGAAAAAAAAATAATCCGTCATTGCCGTATCAACCAAAACAATAATAAGTACTGCAATTATTGTATGCAACTAGTAGGGTTAGAGCAGTGTAGTGGTTTGGGAATGACCCTACCAATCCACCGCACAGGGTTCGAGTCCCACACCTGTACGAGAAGCTGGTGGTTGTCACCGGCACTTTTGTCCTGGCATAGGGGTAATCTAACAAACAAAAAATGAGCCGGCGACGGCAAGACAGACCACCAGCGGATATAGGTTTTACGCGTAAAAGTTAATATCCTCTTATTTTTATATAGAGAAACTCTATAGAGAATGAGAGGGTTCATAACTATGTTTACTCTGCATCTTCCTCGTCGTCATCGGCCGATTCATTGTATCCTACCAGAGAGGTGAGTCCCAGAGCTCGCGGTTGGCACGTAGAAACACCAACATCTCAAAGTTTGCTGGGAGCATGCTGGAACGCAAAGGGTTGAACACCAACTTGCACTGAGAGAAGAGGCGTTCGCAGTTATTGCTGGTAGGTGGAATCATTCGCAGCAGGTCAATGTACTTGGTCACAGTTGCCAAGCGAGGTCGCTTTGCATGACGCAGAGTTTCCGTCGCAAGTCCACCTTCTTTGGAGTTTCTTGCGCGGAGTCAGTTAGACCAGCAAATTGGGCAACCGCCTCTTCTTCGTCTGAGATCAGCGATCGATCCGATAGCAGCTTGACAACGGCACTTTCAAACGCGGGAGAGTGAACGATTTGAGCCGATGGACTAAAGCGGTGTGCTGTCGCTGGAAACTTCGCAATAACCGCGTCGAAGAGGAGTCGCACGTCAGCAAGATTGCCTTCCTCGGACTGTAGCCTGACACAGACACTGTCTAACGCTTCGAGGTTAGTAACCAGTTGCACAATCTGGCGGTGAGTACTAGGCCGCGGAAGAAGGTCCTCTACAGCAGCAACGCGGCGTAGATGGCGATGAAGTGGTAAATACATGAAGTCCACCCGTCAAACATGAGGCCGAACTGGTTTCCCATATCCGTCGAAATGCGCGGCCCCACCTTGCTTGCAACGTGACGCATGTACTTTACCAAGGTTTTCGACGAGACCGGCTTGATGGCAGCTAACGCGCGCGTCATCGGGTCATCC